ATATAACCTGCTAATTAAATTTTAAATTGATATCTATACGTGATCAAAGATTCATCATCTAAAATATTATTAAAAAAAAGTGTTAAATTTCTTGAAATTCTTCGAATAATTTGCAATATAGAATTGATATATGTTTTGTATCTAGATATGCTTATGATGCTTAATTAATAATATAGGATAAATGTGAACTAACTAAATTATATAATATAATATTACTATAAAAATGCATAAAATAGTTTGTATATTATTTATTACTTGAAATTTTTTCTATTAAATAAAAGGTATGCACAAAATAGTCTGTCGATTCTGTGTTGATCTGACCGAGTCAGCATGTTGTTGATTTGACCGGACCGGATCAATATATATACACGAGTGATTAACATATATTTATATATAATATAACAAATATTATGTTATAAAATAACATAAATTGTATTATAATATAATATAATATATAATATATTATAAATGTGTTGAGATATACATAAATATATTGGTCACCTCTATAACATATATTGATCTAGTCACATCAGTATCATGCTTACTTCACTACAAAAAAAATAGTATATTTGTAACGGAATTCCGTTTCTAAAGTTCACATAGCTAACCATCTCTAATTCCGTCTCTAATATCATTAGTAACGGAAAAAGTAGATTTAACAACGAAACAATTTTGTTACAAAATTGATATTTTTTTTGTAGTGCTTGACCAGATCATCAATGCCCAAAAATACATTCTTTATTTATATTTGGTTGTAAATACATATCTAATTATATAAATTTTATATAAAAAAAATAAAATATCTTAAAATCATATACTTATAAACATATAAATTTTTACATGTATAAATAAATTATTATTATTTTGGAATTTTAGAAAATTAACTATCTTCTTATCGAATTCTGTTCCGACACAGCATTCAATCTTTTGTAGACCATATTCGATATAGATAATAAAAAATATTTATTCTGAATTATATTGAATCAATTTCATCGACCATAAATAAACTAAATACACTCAGCTCAACTTGCAAATGCATACAATAATCAAAGAAGAGATCCCCAAAATGCTCCATACAATGGATTTCAATTTCTCATTATCCTTTGATTTTTCCTTCTTTTCTAATTCTAATTGTCTTCCTTAAAATAATCACTAGATCCGTACCCAAACCTGAACCCGACCGGAATTCGATTACTAAGGGTGTGTTTGTTTGTGGATTTGAATTTTTGAATAGTAAAAAGTTGAATTTGAATAATTGTTTGATGTGATATAAATAGATAATGATGTGATGTTTTGAATGTAAAATAAATTTGTAGTATAATATAAAAAAAGAAAAATAATTATTTAATTTGATATTAGGAAAAAAAAATCCGAATAGTAAAAACCTTGTGTAAAATTCACAAAAAAACACAACCTAAGTGACTTAGCTGAAAAATTTGGGCCGGTGATGTACCTGCAGCTCGGCGAAGTTAGCGCCGTTGTGATTTCATCGCCCGAGGCCGCGAAAGAAGTCATGAAGATGCACGACGTAACCTTCGCCAATAGGATTCGCTCGTCACAAAGGATATAATATTCTTAACAAGAACACCAAGAATCGAACACAAACTCCTCAAAGAAACAGAACCGAAGGCTTCAAATAAACTTTTGTTTTCGATTTAAAACTCAAATGCTTTAACACCACTGTTGAGAATGTATAAGATCGAAATCGAAACAAACACAAGTGAAAACCAAACCAACAAAACACTATTTTTACCCACACACGAACCCTACGGGTAACTCAAGAACACACGCACCCACCCGGAATTGAATTCGAGCCTAACCCTCAAGTGAAGGACTTTAGGGAACTTTTTTATTATTTGTAGATAGAATTTTTGGAATTTGTTTGACAACTTAAATGAATTTCTCCCAAATTAGAAAACAATGAGCAACGGCCCCCTTGTTGCATGCAGTATTGAGTTTGGAATTGATTCCACCATTTGATTTTGAATTCTTAAACTAACGACAATGAATTTAGATCATAAAAAACTTGAAGAAACTTGAAATTTTTCGAATATCTTACCGCTTGATTTACGAGGGTTTGATCCAAAACATGATTTGTGGCTAAAAGGTTTGGATTAGTCCTTATTGATGAAGAGCAACCCAAATACAACGGCACCTAGTCGACAACAGTGTATTTGCTCAGCTGCTATCGATCAAAATCTCTCTCTCTTTGTGTGCCATTGGGGAGTGTTTGGTGAGATTTCTTTGATCCCATTTTCTTCAAAACAAATTGTTTTGATCAAGATTTTGTCTTTGTTGTATTTGGGGTTGTTCTTCATCAATAAGGGTTAACCTAAACCTCTAAGTCGCAAATCGTGTTTGTTGATTTTCACTTATGTTCTCTTGTTTTTTAGTTCTTTAATAAAAATATTTAATTTAGTTCTTCTAAACTTGTTTTCAATTTCAATTTCGATCCTATATTTTCCTAACATAAAATCTTTGTAAGGGATTTTGATTCCTTGCAAACTTCCTTCTAAATTAGCGAATGCTTAACTGTGTTAATTTTAGTGTTATATCACATCAAAATTTAATTCAATAACTATTAATATCCAACCCCAACTACAACTCTCAACCCAATATCTATACACATAGTAACGATAAATATTCTTGGACAATAAGTGGAATTCAATCTATAGCTGTAAGAGTAGCAAAAAACAGAACAGCAATCTATATAGCTGTAAGAAGCTGTTGTTTTCTACCTAAAATTTCCAATTGGCAGAGAGAGAGAGAGAGAGGGAGAGAGAGAGAGAGAGAGGAATAATCCAATTGAAACGACAGAATCTAGACATGGAAAGAGTCTTTGTCCGAAGATTTGGTCTTGCCGGATGAACGAGGAAACGGTCATTTTCTTAAGTAGGCAACTTCTTAGTATTATTCAATTATGTGTATATATAAATATTAGGGTTTCATAGTTGTAATATGTGTGTAATAGAAAGAGACATATATATATATATTTATGTATGATGCAATATTTCGGAATATTATATACTCTTTATATCTCAAATATCGATGCAATATTTCAGAATATTTTATGCTCCCTATATCCCAAATACGATGCAATATTTAGTTTTTGGTACAAAAATTTAGGTGTATAGTATTAAATTAAATAGGATAATATGAGAATTAAGTGATGTGATGAGAGAAAAAAAAAATGTATATTTATTTTTTATTTGAGTGATGTGATTAGATAAATATAATGTATAGATTATTAGCATGCCGTAAGTTATAATTTGATATGTGTGTCGTGTTAGTAAATTTTGTGTTGAGATCAATTATAGTATGTCGTAAGTGGATTATTGTAAGTTCAGTTTATTTGTTGTATTTGTATTATATAAATATATTTCTTATGGTATTGATTTAGGTATAATATGTTGTCCGCCGAAATAGTCTGCCATATAGTTTTATATATGTATATATATATATATATATACACGGAAGAAACAAGAAGCTAACTCAGCTCTTATTTTGTCTGTTCTTCCTAGTGATCATGAATTAACTCATCGTTTTACATTAGACAAGGATTTGAAGAAGATTGGATATGCATCAATTAATTAATACTTGTTTCTACTGGATTAGATTGATTGGAATAATTTATGTGTTGCTTTGTCAACAACCTTAGTAATTCGATATGAATTACAGAGAAGAGAAAATATGATGTCTTCATCTCATGAAAATAAATAAATATATAAGAGTGTAGTCTACTAGAAATTTGAGCAACATATACTCCGAAAATTGATTTGGAGAGAACTAATTCCGAAGTTATTTTTGAATATGATTTGAAAAATGCGTCTGAAACGAAATCAAGGACAAAAAGCTCGAACACATTCAAGGGTCTTGAAAATTTTGAGGAAGTTTTTATTTGAATTGTTACAAGCATTAGTATTAGGTATGATTGTTAACTTGTGTTGAATGGTTGTCTAATTTGATATATTGTATATAAAAAAATGTGAATATAAGATTATGTAAGAAAAATCAGTAAGGTGAATAGTAAAAGTAAAAATATGAAATGCAAATGAACATAATTTCTTTGTTCATTTCTCTAAATTTGTCTAAAAAATATCATATTAATTTGAAATAGTTAAAAGTGTTGATTAGCGCTAAATTATTTCCCATCCGACGGTTGGAATTAACACACTGTGTTGTGTAGATGATTGTTACGTATAGTTCGTTTATAATATGCATTTTTGCTATGACAACGTATACTTATGTTGAAATTAATCGTGATATATGATGTGTGAACTATTAGCACATGATATTTCTATCGGTTCATACCATATATTTTATGTCTGAGATAAATTATAGTAATATGTTTAGCCTAATCAAAACCCTCATTGTCGCCCACATCCAATACATTACATTCAATATAATTTCATCCAAAAACATCAAAGTAAGAATACAAAAATGAAAGCAAAACACCCAATAAACAAACCCTATATAGTTTCCACAAATTAAACCAATTTAAGTCCATAACATTACCTATAATCAAATTAAGATAAGCCAAGAAGCACCTTAATCAATGGTAGAATTCCAAAGTATTCAAGTACATATATCCAAAACCACAATACATTGATACTTTTCTCAAATCACAACATACATTTATATATATATAAAAATTGAGACGAAACAAGTTCGTGAGTATAATGTATATCCCGCTCCAATTATTTAAATGACGATGTTAAAAATTATCCAAACAATCGAAAAGAAGAAATCAAACAATTGAGAGCAAAGGATTGTGGCTAGAAACTTTAGTTATTTCCTCTTGTTTGAAATCTTTCAATTCAAACATTTCGTAACATTTTTACGAAAATAAATGATGTACTCATCACCCAACCATTATTCGGCGCAACCATATACAAAAATGCCAATTATCGAAATATCGAAATGATAAACCATCAAATCATATACCAAAATGATCAAATTTTCTCATACAATGAGAAGCAAGGAGAATAACATACCAATAATACTGTTTTCCCCTTTGCTTTTTACAATATGTAAAATATGAAATTACATAATTTTAAATATTTCCAAGAAATAATCATTAACATATAACAATATATATATATATATAACTCACTTTCTGTACACCATTTCTTCAAGGATCATGTCCAAGTCGAAGCTCCAAATCCACTTCGACTTTCTCCACTTTTCTTTCCCCATCACCAAGATCCTGCGGCTGAGATTGCCCGATCCTCAGGCTCAGGTTCGGACTCGCCGCCGGCGCCGGCGCCGTCGGTTGTAGACGACTGTAATTGACAATTTGGGAATTAGGGTTTGGGGAGGGCAAGTAGACCTGATAATTGGGAATTCCCCCACCAGGTCTGTAATACCTTGTTTTCTGCTCCACGACGTGATCTTTAATTTGGGACAAAAACCTCAGATTCTGACAGGTGCTGCTCGATTTGGTCGAGGTATTGTAATAATTATCCAGTTGATGATGATGATGATCATTACGTTTCTGCTTGGCTTTGGCCTTAGCTTTGTCCTTTCTGTGGATGTTCATGTGCCCTCCCAAAGCCTGCGCGTTGGTGAAGCCACGTTTGCAGAAAGCACACTCGTACGATCTTCCGACGCCGGCGCTGTCGTCGTTGTCTTCTTCTTCTTCCTCCTCGTCCGATGATCTTTTGTCGTCCCTTTCCGGGCTCGAATTCGTCTCCGAATTGCTGGCTCTTCCTTGCTCCATCACCGTTGGTAGAAAATTGATTGGAATTGGATTTGATTTCTTGGTTTTTAGGTTAGGGTTTTGAAAAGGGAAATGGGAATTGGAATTGGAATTGGAGATGTAATTTGGGGAGGTCGTTTTCTTGCCACTTGATTCTTGAATTTAACTTGGTATGAAGATAAGGGTTTTTCTTTTTTTGGATTTTATTAATGTTGCTTTTTGTTATATTTTTAATTGGATTGAATTGGATTAGTTTGTCTGCCGGCTTCGAAGACGTAAGATTCTTTGCTGGTTTTTAATGTTGTTGGGTTGTCCGATCCTCGTGAATCTCTGGACCTTGCATTTGTTCTTGGTAATTTCTTGTTGCATCGTCGTCAGACATATCATATATATATATATATATATATCTATCTATCTAGAAGATGGTTACGATCGGGACCGGAACAAATCAACACAGTCAATACCATTTTGATTGTGGTGCCAAACAGTATATATTTATAAAGAAAATATCTATAGTACTAATGAATATAATATATAATACATATTTGGATAATTGATTATATAACACAATATAAATAATATAATACTACTTTCGTCCGGCACTAATAGTCTTATTTACTTTTTGCGCGTATCGATTTTTTAATATTAACTATTATATCATTAATGTCTTATAATACTAATAGAAGGATATTTCTTAAAAAACAAAAAAAAAAAACAAAAGAAAAATTATACAAATATAAGAATATTTTTAATATTAAATACAACGATGCAAAAAGTAAATGCGACCTTTAGAACCGAACGAAATGAGTATATAATTCTCTCAACAAATATTAAGTAAAAGACCGACTCACCTTGACATTATCTAACACACATTATATACATATCAACATTCAAATTATATATTTTATCACTCATGGTAGTAAATTACATTCAATTTATTACTTTTACTTATTTTATAAGATCACAATAATATATTTATTTCTATATATTTTTATTATGTAATAATATATATTTAAATAATTTATTTATTTTATAAATATTTTTATTATTTAATAACACTTTTATGTAATATTATATTTTAACTTTTAAATATTAACTTATATAAACACTAATAATTTTTGAAACATATAATTTACTATTTTAAAATTTTAATATAAAAAAATATAAAAAAAATAATTTTCAAATATAATAGATATAGTATGATATTTAGTTAATGGGTTTTAACTATAAATATAATTTCTACGTAAAATTTTGAAATTTCAAAAAAATTTCAATAATATTTAATTAATTTTTATTATTTTATTGGAGGTAATCAGTTTTAAAAAATGTAATAAATTTATAATAAATGTATTTTTTTATTAAAAGTAATAAATATTGGTACAGTAGTAGTACAAATTAAAATACAATAAAACGAATAAAAAAAATGTAACAAATGCTCTTTGAGGATATTTTGGATTTAAATTTGATTCAATAAAAATTAACTTTTAATATAATATCTTCGGTATAAAATATATTTTAATATTATATTTTGAATAATAAATTAATTTTTAATGTAACTTTTTTATACAATATATATTACTCTGGATCTATATTAAATAAACATATAGATACAAATTATGGGCCTGTTAAGTGTTTATAGCCCAGCCCATAAATGTTGCAATGGCCTGTGTTGGGCTGGGCCAACTATTACTAAGGAATTCCTTTGATGTGAACTTTTTTTTTTTTTTTTTTGAGTTTTTATTTAGTTTTTTATTGTTTGGATTTCTTTTTTTTTTTTTTTGAGTTTTTATTTAGTTTTTTATTGTTTGGATTTCATTGTTTCTTTTTTTGTAAAAAAAATAAAATAAAATAAAATAATTCTTTTCAATATCCTATATTAAATATTAATTAAATATAAAAAAAAATAAACCAATAAGATACACATTTGGTCATATATCTATTGTGAAATCTATCTATTTGTGATCAAATTTTATTCTATGATAGGAATGTGGGAAATTTTTGGGAAAGTAAAAAAAAAAAAAAAAAAAAAAAAAAAAAAACCTTCTCTATTAAACCATGCTCATGTTCATAATTGGTCATCTCCAAAAGTGAATTTTTTTTATTCTAAATATAATATCAAATATTGTTTTGCAGATTAATCTAACAAAAAAAAAAAAAAAAAAATTCAAAATATTCTTGTGCAATTTTTCAATTTTAAAAAATTCAATTTTCATAATTGATCATCTTCAATTCAGAATCTTTTCATTTAATATACAATATTATATCCAACATTCATATTCGGTCATTTTCAAAAGTGAATTCTTTCATTTTAAATATAATATTAAAATAGGTTACACAAATATTATTTTAAAAAATGATTCACTTACAATTTTCAATATATTATACAAATATCATTATTCTTATATCACACCATCTAATAAGGATACTTTTCTTTTCATTATAAATCAATATAATACTAATATTCAAAATTTTGCATAAAAAAAAACAAATTGTGCTGATTTTACGGGACATAGGTAGTATTTTCTTTTTTTTTTGGATTTTTATACCCAGATTCTATCATATATGTACTAACAAATAAGAGATATTAAAACAAATTCTGATAATCATATACAAGTGTTTAGATATACTCCCTTCGTCATGACTACCGCGTCTTTTTTTACTGTAGATACGAGAATTTATGAGAAATATAACTAAAAATAATTAAAAATATATTAGTAAAAATAATTATCGTATAATAAAAATAATTTTAAATTAAGATTAGGATAATTAATTAGTCTAATTAAAATTAAAAAAATTTAAATTAAAAATTTTAAAATAAGATTAGAGTGTATAATTCTTTTCCCGAAAAAAGAAAATAACAGAATAAGCAGTGGGATAGACGGAAATGAAAAGGTGGACACAATAAGTGGGACGAGCGTCTTTAAAGGTCACATTTACTTTTTGTGTCATTAAACTTTAGAATTAAAATATCTTTATATTTGTATAATTTTTTTCATAAATGTCTTTCTATTAGTATTATAAAAAATTAAAAAAAATATTTGTACTTATATTTTAATATAATAATTAATATTCAAGTATTTAAATGAGACCTTAACGAAAATAGTACAAAATAAAAATAGAAAGTAAAAATAAAAATGTGAGAGAGAATTCCGAAGTGGGAAATGTGACGCGATGATGGCATCTGAGGGTAAGAAATCCAAATAGGGAAAGTGATGATGCCATTTCAGGGCTGCAGGACATTATTGGGAATATGCAATTTTTCTAATATTATCTATTATATATATATATATTTTAATAAATATAAAAATGTCCCCACCAAATTTATCACCTTATGAAAAATTAAATAAAATACTCCAATTGTCTTTAATTTGTATGTCAAATAAAGCTAATTAATCTATTCGTCTCAATACAATAGTCTTATTTATCATTTTTATTTATCTCAAAATAATAGTCTCATTTCCATAAATAACCATATCACCATAAAATTATTTCTATCTTTTTATTATTGTTACACAATTGTCACTACGTTTTACAATAATATACTCACAAGGGCAAAAAAAATTATTTATCATTACTTTTTATCAACTACTAATATAATATCAATATTCTTTAAATCTTGTGTCCAACACAATAAGACTATACTTTTGGGACAGATAGAATATAATTTAATACTCCTACATTTTAATATAATAATAAATACATTTGTCTTTGATAAAGCTATGACTTTTGCATAATACTAAAAATTAACACTAAACTCCAATCAAACAAATCCCACACAATCATTTTGCATTTAGCCCATTTTTGTAATTTTGAATTAATGTATTTTTTATATTGATTATAGAGAATTGTGTCACTAATATAAAAAATATTTATATTGAATGATTAATTTTCTGTGGGTAAATAGAGTATATATATAATATATTGTACTCTGTCCATTTTAAAATTATATATTTATTTATAACACAAAATTTGAAAAATAATACTAATATTTTTATTGTAGTCCGTGGGGGAGCCAAAAAAATTTTTGGCGGGCCGAAAATTCTTTATATAAATGTTATATAACATTTTTAAAATTATATAATATAATAAAAAAATAAAAATTGCAAAAACAAATTTTTAATTTGTTTTATCTAATTTTGTTTTCAAATATTTCTAAATATTTGAAGTGTTTGAACTAATTTTTTTAGTATTTGAGTTAAATATAAATAATACTAATATTTTTATTAAATCTATAGAGATGGTTAATTATTTAAATTTTAAAAGTTGTGCAAATATCATATAATAAAAATACAAAACTTGGTCTGGTGATATAGGGATTGGATTGTGACTGGTTTACAGGGTATTAGGTTTGGCCGTGAGTTTATCCAATGCTATAAAGAAAATAGAATTTGTAATTATTGAAAAAGTAATTACTATTTAATTGGATAACTCAAAATAAAAGTATGCATACTATGTAAATAGACAGGGAGAATATTAAAATATGTATTACTCTCTCCGTCCCAGATACCATGTTCATGTTGCCGTTTTTGTCCGTCCTACATAGCATGTTATTTTTCTTTTTTGAAAAATGATTACACACTTTGATCTCATTTTAAATTTTTAAATTTTTTTTAATTTTAATTAAACTAATTAGTTATTTTAATCTTAATTTATAATTATTTATATTATAAGATAATTATTTTCACTAATATATTCTTAATTATCTACTAATTACACCCCTTCTAAAATACGTGTCTACGGTGTAGCAGACACAGTATCTGAGATGAAGGGAGTATAATTTTTATAATATTTATGAAAATCGTGTTAAGTAAAAATAAATTGGGTGAATAAATTAAATTAATCACTTGTTTATTGTTACAACAAATACAAACATTATTTCTTTCAATTTCAAAAGAATAATAAAAATTTTAGTTACAATAATTATATTATGTAATATAAATACGTATTAATTCATACGATATTTTGAATATAAAATTAATATTTATTATAATATAAAAAAATATAAATTTAATATGATATTTTTAAGATAAAACTCTAATGAATAATAAAAATAAAAATAAAAATAAAAAACTTGTTATTTAGATTCAGTCAATAATTTACCAAAAACGTACTTGAAGATTAAAGAAACATATTAAAATTTTTAATTAATAATAGTATTAATTAGTCGCAATTAATGACGCCCACAGATCGTCTGGTCCGGAAATTAATTAAATTTAATTGCTTGTAAGTCCCTCTACAAACCAATAATTAATTAAAAGAAGCAGCCAATTGACGGCTTGCGTACAGTTTAGATAGAGATTTTTAGTATTTAATAATAATAATAATATTATTATTATTATTATTAGATCAAATTAATATTTAATGATATTTTTGAAAAAAAAATACAGTTGATTAATAATGACTAACTGTAGCGAAGTGTGTTTGATCGGGGGTTTGGATTTTAAGTTGTGATTTGAATAATAAAAATTTTGAATTTGAATAATTGTATGATATGATATAAATAGGTGTTGATGTGATGTTATGAATGTAAAATTTATTTTTAGTATAATATAAAAAATGAAAAATAGGTGTTTGATTTGATGTTTTTGGGAGGAAAAAATAAGATGAACAGTGGAAATCTAATCCAATCCCCCAAACAAACGCACAAGTGTTTTAAAAATTATGAATTTTTTTTTTATTTAATTCATTAAAATTATAAAAATGTTGTACCAAACTGTGATGTTTGAGTGTAGTAATTTATCATACTCCCTCCGTTCCATGAGTAAATATTTATTTGTTTTTTAACGTAATTTTAAAAATATTAATATTATATTGAGATATAGTGGAAATAAAGTAAAAATGACTAAAATAACCTTATTAATACGTATGATATAAAAATAATGATATTTGTATAATATATTGTAAGTTGTAAGAGTATTTGTAATGTTAGGTAGACAATACAGTTACTAAAAAAAATTGATACTCTGTTATGAGACGGACTAAAATGGAAAAATAAATGTTTTGTTATGAGACGGAGGGAATATTTTTTTAAAAAATATTTTTGAAAGAAAATAATACTATCCTTTTATTAAAAATATATAAAATTTATTTGTTTATTTTTTTATATATGATACTAATGTAATAAAAAATATATATTTCATTCCTCTCAATTCTAATTATGTTTTTTTACCATTTTTGTCTGTCCATACCTCAAGGTACTATTTTTTTTATTCTAGAAAAGGTAATCATACACCTCAACTTTTTCTTAAATAACAAACATATCATTATACATACAATTACAGACAAAAATATTAAAAATTTTTATACACTTCCGCTAACTAATAAAATATTATTACTTCTTAATCTACTCCCTTTGTCCCATAAAGAAATATCCATTTGCTTTTTGTACGTAGTTTTAGAAATATTAGTATTATATTGGGATATAATATAAATAAAATAGAAATGACTAAAATAACCTTATTAGTATGTGTGATATAAAGGTAATGAGATTTGTGTAATATTGTAAGTTGTAAGGGTATTTGTAACGTTATGTAGATAGTACAATTACTAAAAAAAAGGAAATGGATACTTTGTTATGGGACAGACTAAAATGAAAAAATGAATATTTTGTTATGGGATGGAGGGAGTATTATAAAATTTCAAAAAGCCTATTTAATTAAAAACGGAGAGAGTGAGTATATTATTATTTCTCACAAAATGTTATACTATTTTCGTCCGGCTCTAAGGGTCTCATTTATTTATTTATTTATTTTTTATGGTGATCTTTGAATATTAATTATTATATAGAAAACGTAGTACAAATTTAGAAAAAATTGCAAAAATATTTTTATTAATGTTTTATAATACTAATAGAAAGACGTTTGTACAAAAATTTATACAAATATAAATATATTTTAAATATAAAGATATTTGTAATATTAAAGACAATGACGCAAAAAATAATTAAATATAACCCTTAGAAACAGACGGATGGAGTAAAACACTATTATTTTTTAATTTATTATAAAATTTCAAAAAGCCAATTTGATTAAAGCAGACAAACCTAGGGAGTATATTATTATTTTTTACAAAATATTATATCAGAATACTATTTTAATAAAAGAAAATTAAAATTAAAATTTCTTAACCAAACAAAGACGTAGATATAAAATAAAATAAAATAAAAAATAAAAAAATAATAAAAAAAATAAAAACTATATAGGGATGAAATTAAAAGAAATAAAAACCCTCTTGCAAAAACATAGATGATGAAGAAGCGTAACCCTAACAGTACTGTCCGAGCCGAAGCTCTAAATCCAAATCCAAATCGTGTTTGGATTCAGAATTATTAATCTCCAAATCCAACCTGACAATCTCATTACAAAACCTAAATTCTTTCTCACAATTACCAAAACCTTCTTTCCACACCAAATCTTTCGTCACAAGCCCGTTCCTGCTTCCCTGGCCCGGCCCGGAATCCCTGCACCATTTCCGTACCTCATCCTCTCGCGGCGGCGGAGACAATTTGGCGGCGAACTGAGGAAGTTTTGTCAAGAGAGACGACAGCGTCGGGCTCGGATTCGACACAAACCTAGCCTTAGGGTTAACGTTAGGATTAGGGTTAGGGTTAGGGTTAGTACAACCTGCGCCGGCGGCGGCGGAGAAAGATCCCCTCGACGGCTGCGGCGGCGGCGGAGAGCGGCGCAACCTGGCGGCCCTGTCGCGGCGGTGGACGTTCATGTGGCCGCCGAGGGCTTGGGCGGATCTGAATTCCCTCCTGCAGAAAGTGCAGGTGTAAGACCTCGGAGGCCACAAATATCCCGCCGCCGCCGCCATTAAATCTCCGTCGTCACCCCATCGGCTGCTGCTGTTATTACAGAATTGCCCTCCCTTCATCTTCAGCTCATACATTTTCTATATATATAAGTGTGTGTAGAGAGATAATTTGATGAGAGCATACGAAAATCCCAAAAAGAGTCGAGACTCAAATTATCACCGACGGCCTCATATATATATATATATATATATTTATATATTGTGGATATTTATTGTGCTCTAAAAAGATAGGGAAAAAAAAAGGTCAAACAATTTTTTCACTTATTTATATACTCCCTCTACATTTAACATTTTCGTCAATACATAAAGTTACTACCTCCGACTCTAAAAGTTTCATTTACTTTTTGCGTGTAGATCTTTGAATATTAATTATTATATCAAAACATAGATTGCAAAAATACTTCTATTAGTGTCGTGTAATACTAATACAATGACATTCGTACCAAAAAAAAAATATATAAAAAAAATATAAAGATATTTTTAATGTTAAGTACAATAACACAAAAGGTAAATGTGACACTTAGAGGCGGACGTAGAAAGTATATTTTTTTTTTTATGTTTGAATGCACTACACATTATAAATACGTTTAAACTTATATTTATTTATATTAATATTATTACATGAAAATAAAATTTAAAGATAAAAATGTTCATACAAATTAAAAATACCATCGATTATCTCTACACCAAAAATAAATATAAACTTGTCATTAAAATAGAGCAGGGTCGGCTTTGGGTCAGGCGAGAGGGTCTCCCGCCAAGAACTCAATACAAATAAGAGGTTCATTATATATATATATTTTTTTATATATGTATGATGTATATATAATAGTATAGGATAACTAGGTGATGTGGAGATGAATTTATAACTTTTATAAAATTATAAATTCAAATTTTTTGTTGTTATAAAAAATTATTTTGATAAGGTACTTTATTTTATTATTTTACTTTAAACTTTTGAAAGTCAGAATCGGCTCTAAAATAGAGGGGCGTTAGAGTATGTTTGGCCACCCGTGGTATTATATTTTCATTTTTTTACACTTATAACAAATTTTGTTTAATATACAACTCACTTATAAAATCTTATTTCTATCTTTCAAAATTTTATAATGATATATATATATATATATATAATTTTTATTTTTTTTTTCTAAAATATACTTTTACGTCCCACTCTTATGTACTCTTTTGAATTTTATTAGTAAATTAAAAATAAATATTTTATTAATTGATAAAAAAATGGGTAAAATAATTTTGATATATTTTTTTCTTTATATTTTATATATCAACTAATTATATATGTAATAATTTTTAAAAAAATTTAGTTAATAGTATGAAGGTGGATCAGGTGCTAGAGTTGAAAATTTTAACACTTGTGCTGATAGATAATTAGTTGTATAAGTATATTACATAGTTAATAAGGGTAAACTGTTTTTTTTAGTCCCGTAACTGGACCCTTTTATTATTTTAGTCCTGTAAGTGAAGCATGTCGCAAACTAGTCCCATAAGTGGAAAAATTTCGTTGTTTTAGTCCTCCGGTGCCGGAGACGCCCGCGTGGTTCGCCGGAGGTGACGTGTCCGCCAGGTGTTCCGCTAGATCAGCGACACTTGGTGGACACGTGGATTTTTTTTTTTCATTTTCTTAAATTTTTTTTATTTTTTTTAATTGGACCAAATAAAAAATAAAAAAATACAAATAAAATTAAAAATAAATTAAAAATAAGTTTTAAAAAATGAAAAAATAAATAAAAAAATCCACTGTCCGCTAGGTCAGCGACACCTGGCGGACACGTCACCTTCGACGAGCCACGCGAGCATCTCCGGCGCCAAAGGACTAAACAACGAAAATTTTTCACTTACGGGACTAGTTTGCAACATGCTTCACTTACGGGACTAAAATAATAAGGGGTCCACTTACCGGATTAAAAAATCAGTTTACCAAATTAATAATGAATTTTCAGTAACATGATTAATTGTTCAATTACAACATCACGAAAATTCAGCACCTGATCAATCTCAAATAGTAAAAAATGATATTTTCAATTAGAAAAAAAGAAGTATCATATTCAAACTAAAACTATTATAATAATAATAAAAAATAAATAAATATTTGAAATAAATTCTGATATCAACTTTCTTGGGGGTCCCGGGAGGGAGAGGGGTCACATTATTACATAGAGAGGGTTGACATAAATTGCGATATTAATAAGATTTTTGTTGTTAATTATTATAATTGAAAAAATAAAAAATAAAAAATAAAAAAATAAAAATCTTCTTCCAATATAAATGTATCTATTTATTTTATAATAATGTTCTACTAAATAATTTTTTGTTGTTGTTTTAAAAGCAAATATATAATAATAATAAAATATTTTTAATTTTTACTTAAATTATAAATGTATCATTATATATACTCTCTCCGTTCCATAACAAAGTATTCATTTCATTTTTTAGTAACTGTACTATCTATCTAATATTACAAATACTCTTACAACTTACAATATATTACACAAATGTCATTACCTTTATATCACACGTACTAATAAGGTTATTTTAGTCATTTCTACTTTATTCCTACTATATTCCAATATAACAGTAATATTTCTAAAACTACGTGCAAAAAATAAATGGATATTTACTTATGGGACGGAGGGAGTAGAATTAATTTATATATAAAGTGAAAAAGGCAAAAATATCAAAATTATTGTACGATCTTTTATTAGTCAATAAAATACTCTATTTGTCACAGCTAATTTGTTTATTTTAGCTAGGGTATGGAAATGTAGGTATTATGTAAGTAGTATGTAATTAAAAAAATATTTTAATAAATATAACTATGATATAATAAAAAATAATTATAAATTAAAATTAAGATAACTAAATAGTTTAATTAAAATAAAAAATTATAAATTGTAAATTTTAAAATACAATTAAAATGTATAATTATATATTTTCTTTAAAAAAAAAAGACAAATTATGTGAGTCGAACGAAAATAAAAAAAATAAAAAAAATAGACAAATTATGTGAGACGGAGGGAATACTAATTGTTCTAATCTATTACAAAAACTGAAATGATAGTTTGAAATGAAAACAAAAGAGTATATACTTTTATTAAAAAATGTAAATACTCCATCCGTCCCAGATACCGTGTCTGCTACACTGTAGACACGGTATTTTATGAGGGGTGTAATTAGTAGATAATTAAGAATGTATCAGTGAAAATAATTATCCTATAATATAAATAATTATAAATTAAGATTAAGATAACTAATTAGTTTAATTAAAATTTAAAAAAATTAAAAAATTTAAAATGAGATTAAAGTGTGTAATCATTTTTCAAAAAAAGAAAGTGACATGATACGTGGGACAGACAAAAACGGTAATGTGGATATAGTATTTGGGAAGTAGAAAATACTTTTTTTTAATTAAAAATAATGTAATGTTTAAAAGTAGAATTAAATTCAATGATAGCATAAATTTATTGAGGACAATAAAGAATAGAAAAAATATGATTGGATGGAGTGGGGCCCGGGGAGAGTTGAATGAATTAAAGAAGTGCATGTTCCCTATGTTTGGCCCCAACTTACTAATTAAGGCAACCTCGTCCTGCCAACACTTTCCATTCTTGGAAACTAATCCAGTGCATGTCGTTTATTCCTCTATACATTTTCGTGTCAATCTTTTTGTCACATTGCTGTTTTTGGTGTTCATTTTAATGCCTGCCTTTTTGGGTCAATGTTGTGTATAATAATAATAATATTAATAATAAAATTTCTAATTATTTGTGATCATGTATCTCATTCGTCCTAAAAATATAGTTTGGGTTGTATTTGACACGTAATTTAAAAAATATTGATATTATATTAGTAGTAGGTAAAAAATACGGGTAAAAGATTTTTTCTGCCCTTGTGAGTGTATTAGTGTAAAAAATAGTGGCGATTGTGTAATAATAATGAAAAAGTAAGGGTAGTTTTATAGCGATATAATTATTTATGAAAATGAGACTATTGTTTTGGGACGGACAAAAATAGTAAACAGAACTATTGTATTGGGACGGAGAGAGTAGTATTGTAATAATATAACTAAAAATATACTCCATCTGTTACATATAATTTGAGTGTATTACTGTAAATACGAGAATTTAAGTAAAGTATAATTAATAAGTAATTAAGAAGTGTATTAGTAAAAATAATTATTGTATAGTAAATGTAATTATATATTAAGATAACTAAATAGTTTAATTAAACTTTTAAAAAAAATCTAAAATTTAAAATGTGATTAAAGTGTATAATTATATTTTTTAAAAAGAAAATGATAAATTATATGGGATGAACGAAAATAAAAAATATGGATAAATTATGTAGGACGAAGGGAGTATAAAAATAAAATAAAATTACACACATAAACAAGAGGAAGATGGAGATAAGGAGGAAGATAACAATAGACAAATGAAAATGGATAATATGATTTTAGTTTATATTTTTTGGTAAGAAATTTTAAACAATAATAATAATATAATAGCATGTCATTGTTTAGTATAATTATTTATAGAACTTAATTTAGGCAAAATTGTCCATAACTCCCTTGTGGTTTCGAAACTCAGCGTAAATTCTCAATCTACTTTAAAAATTGTATGGCGTCCCCTTATACTTTAAAAAATGTTGTATGAAACCACTTTGTGGTTTCGAAACTCAGCATATATTCTCATTTTACTTTAAAAAATTGCATGACGCTCACTTATACTTTCAAAAATATTGCATAAAACCCCCTCTGTCATGCAAAACATATAGATAGAAAATCATAATCTTATCACACGAGGAAAGTTTCATGGTGGTGGGGTTTCATGCAACATTTTTAAAAGTATAAGGGGGTACCATGCAATTTTTAAAGTATAGAGAGATTTTACGCTGACTTTCGAAACCCCTGGGAAGTTATAAGCAATTCCTTTAATTTAAAATCAAATAAAAATTATTAATTATTATTGTAAAATCGGGTCAAAACCAGGATTCATCATATTATCTTATTTTTATATTTCAGGTTATCACATCAATCCGAAATTCAACTTAAAATTTTT